CTTTTTGATTTGAGAAGTATTCTCATTTTCTCATTACATACTATTTTTATTTCTTCTAGTTAATACATGGATCAGCGCTGCTCTTGACAATAGCATTATCTTTTGCTCCTTGTTTCTGTGACAATGAACACACCATACAAAACTACCAAGCCATACTGTATGGAAACTGTATGGAAACTCTGATGGCAACATTCCTGTCAATCTAGGTTGTGAGACAAGGCTTCAAATAACAAACGAAAAGCTGTGTTCCATAATCCTTGGAACATGATCACCATGAATTGTAAGAAAAAGCTGGAGAGCAACTGATGATGCAGGAGTGGTCAAGTACAGCTAATCACCGCAGAAAGCAGTCAGTCACTTGTGCCCTGTCCTGGAGAGGCCAGTGATCAAGATTCTCCAGAGACCCTGGCAGGCAGTGGACTGCAGCAGCTAGGGAAATGGCATCTTTGTTACTGTATACTTATATCTGCCATTCATTCAACAAGCATTTAGTGAGCAGCTACAATGTAGAGACACTGATGCTTGAAAAATATGAAAAAGACAAGGTCAATGCTCAGAAGAGTCCGAACATAAATTTGGGAAGAAGAGCAATTCTGGTTCTTGACAAGAGAAAGCAGCTCTGATAATTTATACCAGAAGCCATTTGATGCTTAAAATACATACTGAACTACTTAAAAAGGTAAAACCACTGATAAATATGGAAGCAGCTTCTTTGCAAGCAGTGTGGCAATTTCCTGGGGTAGGTGCACCAACCTATCCAAAGACCTCCGCGCCCCAGGCTCTCCCATCAAAGCCTGCTTCTGTCTGTCATCTCACTCAGAAAATCTAAAAAGTATTGCACTAAGACATTTTTTTTTAACTGAACTAAAAATATCAATTTATACTTTATATCATTATGACTTAAATATTTCAAAGGAATCTAATTCTGGCAAACTTAATAAGAACCTATTCATTATTCAAATTATATGCTTATTTCAGTTTCTCATACCTCAGTTTACATTAAGCAATATTAAATAAAGCAAATTTGCCTTCAAAAAAGTGCAAAGCAGGGTCTTTCTGCATCAACATGAAGATCAATAAGCAGTGCAATGAGGGAGCTGTGTGCCAGGGAAAATCGCCTGCACTGTGCGCTGGCTCCATGGTGCGACCCTTTGTTTAAGCTCCCACAGACAGATGGGGTTCCTTTGTGTGTGACAACTACATGAAAGAGGAGATCTTGGCCCACTCCACTTTCAGGTTCTCAAGATGAGTCACGTGGGCCTATTTCTAGGAAACTTCTCCAGACATTTCTCTTTAACTTTGGTCTCTCCTTCACTTTCATGAGTGTGACAGGGTCATTGCAACAGCATTTTTAGGGATGGGAAATAGATTATATTGTAGACAAGGTGACAAGATCTTCTTTAATGCCTGGACAAATGGAATGACAAGAAAGGCAAGCTCCTCGAGGCCAGGGCCCAGTATGCTGATTCACCTTGGACTTGCCGTCACAGTTAGCACAGTGTGCAATGCTAAATGACTGCTGGGGACAGTACAGAGTCTGGGGCTGTTCCTCTTCTTTCCAAGGAAGAAGCCAAGAGGTAAGACAGGACAGTGTGCAGTATGAAAGGCTGTCACTCAGTTACATCTCCCACTTGCCTAAGGTAGCAGATGATTGGGTTTTGCATGCCTGGTTTACACTCTTCAAATATTTATAGACAGTTCTCTTTGCCTCCAGCCCTAGTTGTCACTTAGCCAAGTTACACATACATGGTTCTTTTAATCTTTCCTTAGAAATCAATCCCACTAAGCTCCTTAATCATTCCAGTTGCATTTTCTCTCAACTTTTGGCCGTTTGTCTTTCTGTTGATTTATTCTGTTGATATACATGAAAATAATAAGAACATGGAGGGGTTTAGTCACTCTTCCATTTCAAGATTCAATGCCTTGTATGTACAAAATAAAATTATTTATCTTCTTTCCTTTTGTATGATCACATTTTAAAAAAAATTTGTATTTAAGTTGATGGATCAATCAATACATTGTAAGAGAAAGGAAGAAAAAATATCATCAGTGTTATATTCTCTAAGGATGATACTATCATTGATTGAAACTTCTCCTGTGTCTACAACTGATTGATCTAACCCAAAGTATTCAAATATGGGGAAAGTGGGAATCCAGAGGCACACGGTCACACAGACAGGCTTAAATGCCCGCCCTAAGGTTTTGTCTATATGTGTATACTTCTCATTAAATTCACCTTAAAAAAAAAAAAAGGCAAGAATTTTTTTGGACAAGACCCCAAAACGTAGGAAACAAAAGCAAAATCAGACAAATGGGATTACCTCAAACTAAAAGGAAGCCATCTACAGAATGGGAGAAAATAGGTCCATCCTATACATCTGACAAAAGGTTCATAACCAGAATATATAAGGAACTCTAAAAACTCAGTAGCAAAAAAAACCTGAATTAAAAATGCACAATTGATCTAAACAGACATTTCTCAAAAGAAGACACCCAAATGACCAACAGACATGAAAAATGCTTAACATCCTAGTTATCAGGAAAATGCAAATCAAAACCACAATGAGATATTACCTCAACATACCAAGAATGACTCCTATAAAAGATTCAAAAATAACAAGTGCTGATGAGGATGTGGAGAAAAGGGGACCCTTTCACATTGTAGGTGGAAATGTATAGTCATGTATAGTATATGCATATAGTATATGTATATATGTATATAGTCATGTATAGTCATGATGGAAAACAATAGCAGGGGTTCCTTAAATATTTAAAAACAGAACTATCATATGTACGACCCAGCAATCCCAGCACTGGGTATCTATCCAAAGGAAATGAAATCAGTATGTTGAAGAGACACCTGCCCTCCCACACTACTGCAGCTCTATTCAAGCCAAGAAAAGGAAACAACCTAAGTGTCCATCAGCTGGTGAATAGATAAAGAAAATGTGGAGGTAGTACACAATGGAACACTACTCAGCCATAAAAAGAATGAAATCCTTTCATTTGTGACAACAAGGATGGAAATGGAGATTGTTTTAAGTGAAATAAGCCAGTCACAGAAAGACTAGAACCATGTAATCTTTTTCACATGTAGAACCTAAAAAAATTGGTGTCACAGAATTTGGGAGTAGACTGGTGGTTACCAGAGGCCAGGGAGAGCTGGGCAGTGGGCAGTGGATGGACAAAGAAATTCTAGTGGCTACTGCACAGGAGGGTGACCACAGATTCCATGGTATACATTTCAGAAAACTGGAAGAAGGATTTTGAAAGTTTTCACCAAAAAAGAAATGATAAATATTTGACAGATATGTTGAGCTGGGAGTGTGGCTTAGCAGTACAGTACTTGCTGAGCATGCACAAGCCCTGGGTTTGATTCCCTGCACTATCACATAAATAAATAAATATAATAAAATATATAAATAAATATAAGTAAATAAATAAAAATAAAAGAGTTTAACCTGACTTGAACATTACACAGTGTATATACGTATTGAAATGTTACGTAGCATCCCTTTAATATAATTTTTGTTTCTATATATCAGTTAAAAATAAGTATAAAAAATTTTAAAATTACAAACATTAAACATTTTACCATTTTAAAAATATCACATTAAAGAAAACTTCAAACAATAAGTAGGGAAAAATTACCTTATAATCTACAACCCAAAGACAAAATTTAGCATTTTTGTCTGATTTTTTTTTTTTTTTTGGGTGGTGGTGGGGATTGAACCCAGGGCTTTGTGCATTCAAAGCAAGCACTCCACCAACTGAGCTATATCCCAGCACCCAAATTTAGCATTTTTAAGTTACAGTTATCATTTTTATAATGAGCCTACTTATAATCCACTTTCTTATCATTTTTTAAAGAATATATTGTCATTGATGATAGCCATTATGTTGTACAATAGGTCTCTTGAACTTTATTCCTAGCTACCTAAAATTTTACAGCAAAGTTTTGACCAACATCACCCTGCACTGCCTCTCTACTTCTCCAGCCCTTGGTAACTACACCATTCTATCCTCCAACTCTAAGATCAACCCTTTTAGATTCCACAGTTGAGTAAGATCATGTAGTATCTGGGTTTATTTTACTTAACATAATGCCCTCCAGATTAATTCACATCGTTGCAAATAGCACTTTGTCTTTATGGTTGAATAGTATTCCGCTGTGTATATATCAAACTTTCTTTACCCATTCATCCATTAATAGATGCTTAAGTTCCTTTCCCATCTTGGTTACTATAAAAAGAGCTGCAGTGAGCATGGGAATGCAAATGTTCCTTCTACATACTGATTTCATTTCCTCTGGACACATACCCAGGAGTGGGAATGCTGGGTCATAATGGCAGTTCTGTTCTTAAATTTTTGAGGAACTTCCATATTGTTTTCCAAAATAGTTATTATAAAAATTACCTATAATTTTTATAATAACTTAGCATTTTTGAACAATTTCATTTAAACCGTTTTTGAGCAACTCCCCAGAATACACATGATCATACTACTTGCACTGTATGAACACCTTGGCCTTTTACTTAATATTATAACACAAAATTTCATGTACAGCATTTTCTTCAAATCATCATTCTTAACAATTACAGATCATTTCATCAAGTAAGGGGATGTGCCATAATTTTATGATTCCCCACTGCTGGACATTAACATTGTTTTTATTTTTTCTTGAGTTTAAATTTTTTTACTACAAAAAATCTTCATAAAGCTTTTCTATGTTTAAGATTATTCCTAGAGCTGTAATTTTAAAATCAATGGGCCAAAGGATATACATACAGTAAATTTTGAGGTAAAGAATCAAGGGAAGTGAAGTGAAAAATACCACCTAAGTACAAAGATTTGTCTTTTAGCTGTGATGCTAACCAGAAAATGCTCAAATCTTAGGAAGGCATAAACAATTGTCAGAGATGAAGAATTCTAATAAATCAAATGTTATACCTGCAGAATCTCACTCTTCTTATTGACTGAGCTGAAACTCTGAACCTTACCTAGATCTACCATCAGAAGGCGAGTGAGGGCTGTGTAGAAGGTTGTTCGGCACCTGAAGTCACTGAGACTGTAACTGTCACTGATGCCAAGAAAGGGGAAGTGTTCATTCTAATGAAAGCAAAAAGTATCCAAAGTTACCAATGCTTGATCTAAACTACCCAGAACATTCTAGTCATTGATTAAGAAATTAAGACTTACCGTGTGGTTCTTCAGCATAAACTTCACAGCATCTATTTTCACAAGTTTTTTTAAAAGGATATAGGTATTAGAAGTTAAGGAATCCAAGGAAATATTTTTGTCTTATCCATATGTAATAAGTCACAAAATAACACCAGACTAAAATGGCATCAATTTGTACTTATGAAGAATAAATATTATTTCAATAGTATTCCTATAGAAACATTTTCATCCTGTTAAGAATGATAATCCATTATTAACCAGTGCAATTACTTTTCCATTTTATACATATTCTAGTTATGGAAAGGAAGAATGAGTTTTATAATTAAGACAAGAACTCCTTTACTATTAAAGTCTTGATAGTAGAAAATTAAAACTGACCCTTTTACATTTTACGTATAACTTAAGAATTTCTTTTTACTTAATGTTATTTCATAATAAAATAATTATAAAATACCCATAAGAGGCTATCAAGGAAGAGAAAATTATTAAATTCTAAGAAACAATGAGCTCAGTCAGCAGAAGGCTAAGATGAGAACATGGCAGGAGAACTAACAGTTCTCTGGTGGAGTGGAAGGTGTTTTTCCTGTTATTCTACCTCACCTTCATAATTAAGCTGTTATTAAGATTATTTATAATTTCCAGTATGTAAAGAAGAAAACAGAAGCTCAGAGAATTGAATAGCTTGCCCAAGATTACACAGCTGTGGGCTGGCAGTGCTGAGACTGAAGCTGAGGCTTAGCTCTGCAGACCTTGCTGTGTCCATTGTACCACACTGTACAGCTGAACTCAGAATAATAAATTGAGAAATCATAAAAATTAACATAAGGCTTAAAGACTTTCTAGTAAGATGTGGGTGCCCAGCACATCTACTCAGTGTGCAAACACCCGCTTTCTGTAGTTGTGGGTTTTTACTGTCCCTCGAGCATCCTGCCCTTGTCTATATTCCCACTCATGTCTTTCTGGCTCCATTCATGTCACAAGGAAAACTCTGGCTCCTTTCCCTCACATCACCTCCAAATACAGAATTCTGTAAACTGTCCTGTACAGTGGCACTGAAAAGCGTAATTCTAAATTTTAGTTGCTCAGGTGTGGGTGTAAGAGAGGAGGAAACCTGGGCTTTGGCTCGATCACATCATCCATCAGCGGGATGAGTCTTGAGTGGTGTACTCAGCCCGAACCTTAGTTTCCATCACCAACAAACAAGGAGGAAACCTATGCCCCAGAGGGCCTTACAGGATTGTTCTGAGGGTCAAAGGATGCAAATGTCTTTGCCAACTGTCAGGGCAGAGATTTTACAGAATGGATACTATTTGAAAGACTAATTCTCATAATTCCAGGAGATAGGTAGTATCACTTCTATTTTCAGACGCCAAACAAATTAAAAAAAAAAAAAAACTTTCTAAAACAAAACCAATTGGTTTGATTTAGATTCAAGTCCATCTGACACCAAGGTGACCATTACAGTTGCACATTAAGCACATCTATGTGGCTCATCTTCATATTAGACTGACAGCTTTCTCAGGGCAGGGCCTGCATCCATGCATTTTTCTCAGTAAGCTGCCCAGTGGGGCTCTTGATGCATGGTATTCTGGCAGGCTGAAGGGCAACAGATCAGATCTGACAGGGAGCAAGTTTTCTCCTGCACTCAAAGATGCAGATTGGATGATTTTTCAAAATCATCAATCACCGAATAGAACTGTCACTCAAGCTTCACTCAGTTAAATAGAGGTGGGGATCAATAAACTTAGAAATATCTTAAGTAATTACCAAATACAAATCTCTTAAAATTGCAAAGTTAAAAGTGACAGGGTCTATGGGCAATACAAATGCTGCCATTAACAGGAATCTTCCTGTCATGCTGTTAATAAACAGCAAGTCATGTTTTGACAATAGAATATTTATGGAAGCAATAAACAGAACATTCACAGGAAGAATCTCATCTGCCAAAGACACATTTTCTGCAGAACTGCATCTGTGCACTTTGTACCAAGGCCAGCTTCACTGCCTTTTAATTATATTAAAAAAAAAATTAAGAATTTTTACCTTTTTCAATGAAGGAAAAAAAATGAGAATTCATCTGAATATTTGTATTTCCTTAAAGGAATTTCCTTAAACGGACAAACGGACACACTTTTATGATCTTTATGCTTTCATCTTATTCTTCTCTAAGAGACCAGGGCTCTTCTGGTAAATTGTGTCATTTTAATTGGGTAGGAGCACTAGATGGACTCTGGCAAAACCAGGTTAGATTTCAGAGGCCTGCAGCTCCCAGCAGCAAACGTGGCAATGGAGCTAACTACAACAGCCACCGCACTATAAGTCTTAAGTAATGAGAGAATTAAGCAAAGGTCAGACGTGAAACTTGTAAGTGGTAGAGTCAAGGTTCCTACCCAGGTCTGTCTTAAAGCATAAGCTGTCCTCATGAGGTTCCATCACATTCATTTGATTTTAGAGAGGCTAGTGTTTGTTCCTTCAAAGATCTAACTAGCTCCTTGAAATACAACTGAAAATGGAACTAGCTCCAGAAGAGTCAGGGAAATCTTCTCTTTTAGGAGGAACCAATTAGTTAATAGGACACACATCCAACAGGACATACCACTGTTTGGCTAATACTAACTCACTAACTAAAATTTCCAGCAATTCTTGTCTCCCTGTGGTTATTAAAAACACAGAGAAAGGTGAAGATAGTCTTCCTCAGGCTAGCACGACCAATGGAGAAAGGCAAGAAAAGATCAAGAGAATGGCTTATCTTATAGATGCTGAAAATTTGGAAAATCTGTATCTTTTGAAGAGTAGGATAACTAAGTCAGGAAGGAACTGGTTTGTTTGTTTGTTTCTTTCTTTCTTTCTTTCTCTCCTCTCTGTCTCTCTCTTTCTTTCCCTCTCTCCCTCCCTCCCTCCCTTTCTTTCTTTCTTTTTTAATATATTTTAGTTGTAGATGGACACAATACCTTTATTTATCTATCTGTATGTGGTGCTGAGGATTGAACCCAGGGCCTCACACATGCTAGGAGCCACAACTCCAGCCCAGAACTGGTTTCTTAAATTACAGGAGAACCACACTCTTTACTCTCTACACAGCAGCACAAAGTATAGCTTCAACCCATAGCATGAAACCTTCACTGACATCCACCATATTTCACTCAATCTAAAACACCATCCATGTAAAAGTACCATTATTTTAGGTATATTAAAACTTTAGAAAAAAGATAGTTAAAATACCATCAACTCTAAGACATAGCCTAATTACAAAAGTATTAAAATGTGAAAAGTACATTTGAGAACTGGAATAGTATACTAGATCCTGAGTATAAGCAAGGTAGATAAAAGATGATGAGAAAGAAATGATGATGAGAAAAAAAATGAAAGAAATATTTAGTAAGCACTAAACAGTGGAGGATTACAACTACTTAAGGTCAGGTTACTAAATCTTTAGCAAGAACTGAAACTTTGAAAGGGAACTAGTTGTTTATAATGTGCCTAAGAAGGGAGAATGGCTCCCAGTGTGATTCAGTAAGAGGCAAGGGCATCAAAGGAAGGCACATAAATGTCCTTGGCCCAAGTACAGAGCACAAATTGTGGCTGAATGATAAATCAGGAAATTAGTTATAGGAACTCAATGTCAAGTACCATTAAAGGACTCAAATTCAAATCAATAATTTTACTTTGACCTAAGAATCAAATGGAAGTGATTCTGGGCTTTTGGGAAGCAAAATGATCAGATCAACCATATTTGAGGAAGGTAACTGTGTGGAACAAAAATCTGAAGAACTTGGAGAAGGTCTGAATAAGGTTACAGAAGAGGAATAGAGGGGGTTGCCACATCTGATGCTACCACAGAAGTGAACAGAGGAGACAGATTATGGGGTGACTTTTCCCTGGCTGACAGAAAGCAAATCAGCATTTCTTTTGATGAGAAATGTTAACAGAAGTGTGCCTGAGGGATGTGTGCTGCGACTAGTTTTATTTAACATTCTCACAAACCATCTGGAGATGGTGGTACATTCAGCAGAATGAATCCATGCATTTTAACACTATACCACAAAAGCAGAATTATTAGTGTTTTATTACTATTGTCCTGTAACAGACACTCCCGTTTTACTGCCACCCATTACTGTCATTTCATTCTGGGCCTTTGCTTTGGCTCTCATCCTCTATTTTTTCCTGACCACCATTCATATTCAGGATTCACAATCTCAGTGGTGGAAAGGTCAGGGACCTAATAACCTTGAATAAAAGGGCTCCCTTTAAGTAGAGTAGTCATATCACAACATTAGATAACCACACTATTTTTTATGTGTAAAATTTCAGAAAATAAGTATGTAATTTACTTGTATTAAATTAAAAAAAAAACTACTTTAATAAATTAAACAACTGACTTTGGGTTCTTAGGAAAAACATAGGAAAGGAAGTATGGAATCAGAGTCAGGTCTATTAGAATTCAAAATCTGTGAGGGCAGGGTCTGTGTCATATTTGTCCATCTGCACTGTCCTTAGTAATCAAACACTAAGTATTTGCTGAACTGAAAGAGGCCAATAAGAAAAAGTCCATCATTAAGATGTATATGGAATTAATCTAAAAATCATTATTCTCTTCTCATTCAATGTAGTATGTAGGCATATCTGGTTACTGAGAAATAAAGCAAAGACAAATGAAGTCAGGAAAGATATGAGGTTGAAAAAAATAAAATCATCATGATGATCAAGTTGCTTTGATAGGAATCGAACCCTGGCTTACAAAACTCAAAACAACTGAAATAAACTGATAGATTTATAATACATGCAGAAATTTGCCAAATTCCAGTGTAAAGCAACTTAGGGAGAGCCCCAAAGTCTTGAGTTTGACTGAAGCCAGAGGAAGGAATTCTTTCTTTCCACCACAGGCAGGCAGGCAGGCCAGCTTCCCAGTGTGCTGGCTGCACCTTTGCACAGGGCCCTGTGCTTAGGAAGGCCTGATCTTGGTTGAATGCTCTGAGGCAGAGGACTTGAAATACCTTAACTTTCTAACAAGGGACCCACAGGTTTCATTTTGTATTTGGCCCTAAGAATTATGTAAGTGGTTTTGCAATAACAAGAATTACTAAGGTTAGCAGTACTAATAAAGTAAAATCTGAGTTTAGATAAATTCGTGAAATGATGTAGCACCCTTTTTATGGTTTTTAAAAAAATTTTTTTCAGATATTGGTGAACCTTTATTTTATTCATTTATTTATATGCGGTGCCAATGCCTCATGCACGCTAGGCATACGCTCTACCACTGAGACATAACCCCAGCCCTATAGGATCTGTTTTTAAAAAGCTAAAGATATTTTGGGTTTTCTCAGTTTTGAGGATTATATAATAAAGGACAACTACCAATAGTGGGCCCGACATCTCATTACTAGATATTTGAAACTCAAAGTAAGACTTTACGTTGCTATAAATTTGAGTAAATAACAACAGCAATATTGATCAATTATTTAAGAATAACTTCAAATCATGGCTAATGAACAGAATTTTGAATGAAATGCAATATTTTCTTCTCTTTTCCTCAGCATTTAAAATTGGTAATCTGATTACTCTTGAAAAATTCTTATTTTCTTTCTAATCTCCCCAGAAGTTTTCTTATCTCAGTCACTTGAACAATCTCACCCCTTTCCCATTTAGACAGAAATTAGAACGTCAGAGAAGAAAACATTTCAGAGGGCAAGAATTGCCACACGGGGAACTAGGTGCTGTGGAGGGGCTGGCCCAGGACAGAGCAGCTTTAGCTCTGCGTACATCAGAAGGAGCTACTTGGGATAAGGAATTCTTGAAATTTCATCTTGGAAATTTAGAGTACGTGAAAAAAAAAAATCCCAAAATATATTTGCTGAATGTATTATATATACTCTGTAATGAATCTGATAGAAAAATTTAAGACTTCTCTAAAAAAGAAAATTGAATTTAAAAATTACAGTAGTCTTAGCAATTTAGAAAGTTCAAATTCAGCAAATGGCAACTTTGGGTTCAAAGTTAACAGGTTATTTGATTACAACCTGGGAGTTCATGGAAAGGCACATTACCGTTTAGGGAACTAGATTACTCTATCTCTAAAAATGTCATGTCTGCCTATTACTGGTATGGACAAAGTCCTATGAAGAAATGTCTGTGGGAAAAGCACCTGGCTTTATGCTCAGGGCATGTAATTCAGCTCTTCCCTAAATACTTAGAGGCAGAAATTCTCCAAGTATGGTCAGGCCAGGGCCTAACACCTCCAGAAAAAGGAACTCTGGGAGGTGGGGCCTGACAATCTGTCCTGATCAGAACTCACATTCCAATGCTCACTAAAGCTCAAGGCCACTGCTTGAAGGCAACTGAAGACCTTTTAGCAATTCGTAAAAATAAAGATGTTTTGTAATTTCAATTTTGGAACAAGAGATCTGATCAAAGAACACCAAAATTCAGGGACTGGCTTTGGGCACCGTAAATATGAGTTCAGTTCACGTAAATATGAGTTCAGTTTTGCAGATAAAACAGCAAAACCAAAACAAAGTATCTGAAGACATGTACTATAAAGTAATAAGGAACATTTAAAAACTTAAGAAGACAATATGTTTTTCATTTACTTAATAACAATATTTTATACAACATTTTCAATATTAATATACAGATTTTCACTAATAGAAGCCAATGGGTGATCCTTTTTATTTTGCTCAACTTTCCAAATTTGTCTTAATTTTAACACAGAAATAATGCTTGCTTTAAAATCAAAATATAAAACTATATCATAATGAAGAAATCATTTGGAAACAGCAAAACATATTGGTAACCAGTGACTGCACTGACATAGATACACCACTCACATATTCCATTATGTAAATGAACTCAAAGATATTTCATGACTGATCAGCTAGAAGGGACATAATGATTTATAATTCAAATAACTGAGCACTGAAATCAAATTGAGCTAATATATATTTCTAAATATGCAAACCTGAAATAATTGTTAAAAAATATAAATCAATGTACCCATGTTGAGATCATTTGTATCCCTTGGTTTAAAATGTTACAGCTTTTAAACTTTTATCTAATAAGTTTTCTGAAAATATGATTTTTTATTAACTTCAAGAAGTACTCAAAAGCAATAAACAGCTTATAAAATAAAAGGTTATAATATTTGGATTAAAGAATATATAAGGGGCATAATATGATAGAAAAAGAATCTTAAATAGCAGATACAAATAAATTAGACATTATGCAAATTATACTAAAAAGAATACAAATCAAATTAATTTTATATTAAATATCAATTTCAACCTAAAAAAATGAGATAAATCTAAACAATAGCTATGTGCTATAAAATAACCAAGGCTTCTTTCCAGATAATATGCTCTCCAAGTAATTCATTGTGAAAAGGCCAGAGTTTGCAATACTAGGAAGTACTTATAAACCACTTCATATGTTAGAAATAAAGAGTATTTCAGCATTATTATTAGAAAAAATATATAGGTTGAGATTTTTTTAATAAGAAAAAATACATATCTTAAAAAGCCAAAATGACCACTGGAATTGGGTTGTACATCACTTTGCAGTAAAAAGGAAAAACAGCCTGGACAGGTGTAATTTATCATTTTTCTGATTTAATATCAAAGAAATATATTAAAATAATAAAAAGAATCCTGAAATCCTCAAAATTTGTAGTGATAAATAGCCCTCCCTGTCTTTATTGCATTATACCTACTAACAGAAATATTGCATGGTGGATTTTGCCAGACAAGGACGATTATTTTCCAATAAAAAGTTGCATATTAAATTCCAGCACAAAAGTGGGTGTCTAATACTTTGGAAATCTCTCACGGTTTACCAAGGAACACAATTTTAAACTTAACTAATACAAACATATTCCTGGGATGAACCTACATTAAAGGTTTCCATCCAAAGCTACCCGTTTCCAGAATTTGTCCTCATATTAAAATATCAGCTAATTTTAGTGGTAAACTGAACCAACATTTATTTTTCAAAACACGTATCTAATAGTGAACATACTAGACAACCTACATGGTTCCTTCTCACTGGTAGAAATATGAGCACAATAACAACTATAATCTAGTGAGAAAAAAAATCATTTCTGGTTTTAGGTTTAAAAAAATCTGCTAGAGAGGAAAATTTAAATATTTAATGTGGCACAGGAAATTGACTTTAGAATAGATAAGAGATTAATTTGGTAATGCCAATAATCAAAGTAGTCAAAAAAGCCCATCATTTCTTCCTATTACTCCTCTGGGCTTTTCGATGAACAAAAATCATGTTCTTTTCCACTGAGAAACAATACAGAGATATTTACTCTTAGATACTCAGTCATTATAAGGTAATATTTTTAGAACATTTTGCTCTTCTTAACATTAGGTATGTGCTTCCTTTTAGAAAATGGTGTGAGAAAGATGGACACATGGCTGCCACTCTCTCTGTAGCCACTCATTACCCTGTGACTATAAACAAAGGTGACGACTTAGGAATCCACATATCCACGTGCATTCAACTAGGACTCTGAATAAAAGCCTCATGGCATACAGCTATCATAAATCTTTAAAAAAACATGCATTGATAGATAATGCTGAATGAAAAGAATTCTTATTTTTTTAAAAAACCTACAAAATTTATAAAGAAGGAAAATACGTGGCAAACAGAATGCACTTATTAGATTATTAATATGTATTATCAAATGTACAATGAAAAGGATATCCAACAGAAAGGTCATTTAGGAACTGAAGAGTCCTTGAAATTACAGGCTCACATCTTCCCCAGTATTTAAGGTTTGTAACACTAAATTCGAAAGAAAAGTTTTAACTTATAAGTAAGATATTTGCTTAAGCAGGAAGAACATAACTTACTTATGTAAGTTAGATGATCTAACTAACAAAACAAAAAACAGGTTGCAATTCTAACAGAACATGTTCTACTCTTTTTATAGCATATGAAATTTTGTACAGTCAATTCACAATAAACATAGATCTCTAAAAGGTGCATAACTCTATAAATTTAGTTTTGTAAATTAAAAAGTGATTTAAGTGTTTTATGGAAGAAATATTAAGTATGTAACCAAAACTAGAGAGTGAAGCAGGAGTCACAAAGGAAGTCAGATAGAGGCTCATGGTTACTGCTAAAAAATGAGCCATCAGATTGTGGTTTTTAAACTCACTTCTCACGATCACAACTGTTTAGCTGGCTTTGCTCTCTGTAAGCAAAGCAGTGCTATCTACCGGTAAAACAAAGTTTCCAAGTAGAGACACACAATAAACTTAGGCTAAATATACAAAGTTATGTGTGTGACTAGAAACCAGTTAATTCTGCTAGAATTATAAACATAATTCAGGACACTTCTGGTGAACAGGTCTCTTGAGTGTCGCAGGTTCCTGTGTGAACCAACACACGTCCTACCTTAAGACACCTGAACCTCCCTCACTCAGTGTTCCAACTCCCAAAAAACTCTTCAGCTGGTCTTTGAAATTCAGTATTTTATTTTACTACTACTACTACTACTACTACTAATAATAATAATAATTAGAAGAAGAACAAGAACAAGAAGAAGAAAGCTGCTCTGAAGAGTCAGGGCCTGTTATCTTTTTAGACCATGTGCTGATGCGGCCTGCTTACAGTGGCAAGGACGCCTTGGAACATTACCGTCTCTTCTGCACAGTGAGTTGTAAATGTGAACGTAATGCTAACATTGTAGGAAAGCAAAATCTTAAAATTTTATTAAAAATTAATTTATGTAAAGATACTAAAATACAGTAAAAAGATCTATGAGGTTTAAAACAACAGAAGAAAAATTAAAAACCAAAATAGAAACTCACATTTTCGTCATGAATGTTTCTAGAACATGGTTGTCATCTGTAATTCCTAATACTTCTGACATACGGGCATATACCTGCATGAAAAATTTGTTTTAAAAAGCTTTATCATTAACATATATTTTCAAAGGAGTATTCAAATTGAACCAGTTGAGATTTAATGCACTGTTGCACCCACACTGAGGCAGGGAGTGGGTGGAAGGAGTAAACCAAAGAGTTTTTAGAAAATTGTAAGTCTAAAATTTATTAACTTTTCTCTTTGAAAGTGACTTCTGATTTGAAATCATTACACACTTGTGCACAAACACACTCACATATCCATTCTATAACCATCACACTCGACTCCTTTTTGCTCAAGTGGAAGAGTGCCCCCTTCCTGACAATGTGGGAGGTATGCAGAAGGCTGACAAAGGGGATGTTCCTGTCCCTCCAGATTCCAACAGCCCATCAGCTAACTTAGGTAATACACGGCAAGTATCAAAATAAGAACTTCAAAACTAAAAATTAAATTCATAGAAATTCTCCTCAAACATTCCCAAATATAGAAGTAGGTCTTACTTTAATGCTGAAACTGAAATCCCAAGCTCAGGGATTCTCTGTTGCAAATACCAGCCTGGGAATCCATTAAACTTCTGATTAGCGTATGCTGCTTTCAGAATTGGGGTGCAACATTCAGTCCCAACCCAAGCCAGCTGAGCTTATAAACAAAGCACACCTCAAGTGGGAGAATGCCACCAGCAGCCAACGGAACGGCCTCTAGTACCCTGGCAGAGCTGGAGGTGGGTTGACACCTTTGTACTCCCTGATGCTCTGGTGTGATTCCAGGTTGTCCCTGCCAGACACCAGCTGCCTGGGATTTCTCCTCTGTGTTTTGGTCCTCTGTGATTGTGTTCTCCCACCTTCTCCTGATCCGCTGATTTCCTGAGGATGGCACTGTAGCTTCCACTCCTGCTTTTTGTTTTTCATATTTAAACACCAGCCTGATAATCTGCCACAGGTCACAAAGGCAACATAATACATAGGGCACCACAATTTCCCAGTTATAGAATCATGCAGGGGAGAGAAGCTGTTCATCACAGAATCCCCATTTTTAGATTTTTAAATGCTGCTTGAATGAGAAGTTCGCATTCTAGCCTTCAAACTGTGAGCCCTGTGCTGGGAAGGCTCCTGCTCAGTCTGGGAGGGCAAGTGGGAAGGAGGGAGAGGAGAAGAGGAGGGGGAGAAGGACAGAAGGGGCACAACAGTGGAGAGAAGCCGGGAGGTGGAGATGGACTTCCACATTTCTGTTCTCCTCAGCTAACTCCTGAGCCCTAAGAAAAGTGTTTCAATGACTATGAATCTGTGACTTTACCCTGGAGAGCTGGCCTTTATCTCTTATAAGACTGGAGCAACAATGGAGCCTCCAAAGATGTTTGCCTCAAAGGGAGAAGCTGGCGACCAGCAATCATCAATGATCAGAAACCTTTAAGCATGAAGGGCTCAGAAGAAGAATGGTTTAAAGAAATGGAAGTTTCCCTTAGTTTGCCATGATTCAAAACTTGTCATAGATAGGAGCATTCAAACTGGGTCCCCTGGAAAACCTTAACTGATATGACGTATGCCACACAGAATCCTTTCCACCTCGCCCCAACCTACCTCATCTTCCACCACCTGCCTCCATCCACCTCAGGCCTTTCCTGCCATTTCAGATCTGTCTACAGGCTCTTCATTTTGCCTGGATCAGTCTCCTTGCTTCTCTTCCTGATTCCCACTCCAAAGTCCTTCCCTCTGAGGCCTTACCAGCCCTCCAGGAGTGAGCTGCTGTCCCAGTCACGTTCCCACAACGGCTGACCCTCTCCTCCTCTGTGGTGTGCGTTCACACTGTAACTGCCCCACTACACAGACAGCTCCTGGAGGGTGACACTATCCCTATTCTTTTGTGTCCCAACACCTGAGATGTTATTTCACATGGTTACTACATGTGTGTTTAATGTGTAAACCAAAAGCCATGGTTTGGATCCACAGGACTATATTATGATGTGAATATTACACATGAAAAATGAAGATTCTTCTTATGAAGCAGATGTTGCATTCTATAAGCAAAAGATGAGAACCATAAATTACAAGAGAAAAATAAAAGCAGAGATTAGTTTGTATTGTTATTTTAATCTGTAAATTTCTAATACCTGATATATTTGAACTTAATTTTTAGTAGCACTCTTGGTCAAATGACATCTTTCAAGTAAGCTGAGATCTTAAAACCAGACAACAGTGGGGACCTGGCACCCTGCTGTCTGTCCTCTCCTGCCTGCCTTGCTCTTTTCCAAGGCCACAGACTGTGCCCTTATCTCTGGATGGCATTTTAAATGCACTTTCACTTGACAAAGATGAAAGCATGAATGGATTTGCTCCGACTGGCCCTGTACAGTGAAAGCACTCTCTCCTGGCAGCCACAGGACTGCCTTTACAGACACAGGACATTAACCATGAATTTCACATTTTTGTATGTTGATTTTTTGGAAAGGACATGACTATAGCATTGTCTCAACTGGCCTATTTTATATATTTGTATTTACATCTTCCTTTCTCTGTTATCTCTTGGTTTATTTTCTTGTTTTGGACCATAGGATGATTATCCTATACTTTTGTCAAATCAAATTTTACCTTTTCAAGGCTTTATAAATGATAAATTTTTATGGCAGAACTCACGATTAATCCAAGTTTTCTTTTAACTATGCCACACTGAATAACAAAATGTAATAACTAGAATGTGATTAACATTTAAAACATTTTTAAAGGTGTATCTTTAAAAAATTGATGGTTCCTACCAGAAGATTTCCTGGTGTGACCCTGGCTGGCAAGCAAGAGGGGAAGCTAGGCAGGCAGGTCTGTTGTGCTCTGCTGTCAAAACAGTTTCCTCAAAGCACCGGATTTGAACCAATAACATACTAGAAAAAACAGTCAACACTGACACATGGCAGTGCTTTAATCCACAATTACCCTGTAACTTGCACCGTTCCTTTTATCATCCATTAGCTTTGATTCCCATTATCCCATCGAGAACTGTGTCAACGCTTTTGTCCTTGGGGACTTCTCTCCACTACTAGGATCTGACAGTCAAGCTTGAGTACTAAACAGGATCATTACCTCTTAAATCCACTTATCTGATCTACTGAATAGTAAATTGAAAAGCTCATTAAAAGCAACAATCTGATTTGTTTTCACGTGTGACAGGGTCATTTAAAATCAATGTATGATTACAGCATTTCTTTTAAAAGACTGTCTCACATTTTCCAAGGCACCTTATCATTCAGAGAACATGTAGATAATATAAAAACATCTCCAATACAATTTAATTAGGTCACAGACATAGATAATTTGGGGGTGGGAAGTAATTTGTTCAGTGAGGAAATATCTACAAAATTCTATATAAAGTATAAGTCAAGGAAAATTTCTACAGAAAATAATTCTAATGCAAGATTTATAGTCTTTAACATTTTCTACAACTTTTTTTTTTTTTTAAATCACTTCACCAAAAATACTTTCTAATGACAGCAAGAAGAAACCCCAGCACAATACCCATTTTAAAGAAGCATACAGGAGCTGGCATAGGGATGAAAAGAAAAGGAAAAACCCCTCACTTTCACTTCAAGATTCCTACTCTTTTATTTTCAGAATCAAGATAATTTGATTGTAATGAAAAGTAAGCAAAAATCTAAGAAATGCAAGTCCTAGTTGTTAGTCCTTCTGCAGAGGAGGATGACGCTACAGTGACAGGTACGTGGCTGTGCTGATGGTCACTGTGCACACAGAGCTACACACTTGCAGGCAAGTCCCCGCTGCCTCACCCCCCCACTCTTCTTTACTCCTCCTTTACCCCACCTGCTTGTCTTTAGTAAATAGACTACAGCTCCCTGCAGGCAGGGGAGGGAGAATGTGGCTGTCCTCCATGTGCACCATGCCTACTGCTTCACAGTGTTTGTTAGGGTTGCACCTGGAAAATGTATATTTCATTCAGTGCCATTTCATTCCTAATTTTATTTATTAACAAAAGGAAAACACCCATAAAAGCATGTTTTTCTTGCTTTGCTTCTAAAGAATTTTTCTTGCAAATATATATTTTTTTAATATTTATTTTTAGTTTTCGGCTGACACAACATCTTTTTTTTTTTTTTTTGCTGAGGATCGAACCCCGGCCGCACGCATGCCAGGTGAGTGCGCTACCGCTTGAGCCACATCCCCAGCCCTCTTGTAAATATAATATATTTAAAATCCAGCTCCCAAGGAGGGAATAGTAGCAAACTTTCTGTTATTTAAAAAGGTGTGGTTTTAATGCTTGCAAGTTCCTGGAGAAAGCCTGTCCCGCAGAGCCAATTGGAAGAGTTCTTCTTTAAGTGCCCAGAGCATCCACTGCTGGGAGCCTGGTAAGTGTGCTTCTCTCATCAGAGCATCCACTGCTGGGAGCCTGGTACGTGTGCTTCTCTCATCACGTGACTTTGGAGTACAGCTTTCCCTGTGAATCGGTACCTCCACAATTTCAAGTGTGTGCTCCCTGGGGGTAGGGGAGACATCTGTTTTAGTGGTACTTAAAACACTGTCTTGATGAACTTAGCAAAGGAAAAATTGAATAGTTTTGGTCCCAAACATATCTGAATTTCAATTCTGGTTCTGCCACGAACTAGGTGTTGCTTCAAGTCTTTGAATCTTCGTTACTTATCTATCAACAGGAATAATAACCATATATTTCATACTCTATGGGTTTCTAGAAAAATTAAATGATAATGGTTCCTGGCATTTAGAAGTTACTACAAATGCTAGGCTCCCCTCTGTCCCCTTTCATGAACCCTTCTGCACAGCAAGGTACTAAACTGTCTACTAATACCTTTTTAAGGCAAGGCCCCTCAGATAAAAAATAACAGGAAGGTAGGAAGTGATTCTCCCACAGCCATTCACATAGCAGAAAGATAACAATCAAAACCAAAACCTTGAAATGTGCATTAATAACTGGAATCTTTATGTGTTCAATGAACACATTCTAGTCTTAGAAACTGTATTCGTTAAAGGCACAGAGCAAATGCTTCAAAATTTCATGATACGA